CTGTTCTTATCAAATGTAAGCTGTTTTTCCTGAATAAATAATTTCTTAGATTGCTGCAAATCAATGACAAATTTGCAGAGTTCTGAAATGGTTCTTCAGGAAGTTAGTAGGTTTTTTTCATTGCTTTCTGGGAGACAAGTTGTGAAAATTCTTCATCATTTTCTGTCCCTCACATTTTGACATCCATATGAAATTACCAGTTTTCACATTAGTGGTAAAGTTCATCTGTGTTTATATTTTCTTCCCTTAATGACGCATAGAAACCACCTACCATTCTGTTATGATTTTAGAATACTTTAGAGAAAGAGCAAAGCAGTTAGGGTCTGACAATCCCCTTCAAGAGCACACCCCTCCTACAGACTCCGGGGCCAAGCCTTGAACACAGGGAGAAACAGACCCAAATGATGGCATAGCCAGAGGTGAGAGTATCTGATCCTCTTTACATCATACTACTTGTTCTTTCAATGACACCTCAGACTTTCCTCTCTTGCGTAATTATTTCTTCATTCTGTGAAAGTCTGTCTGCCCCTCCTCCCAACTTCCCTCCACTAAAATACAGGTTCCAGGAGGGCAGGAACTGTCTGCTTAATACACTACCTGCTGACTGCTTTATTCTGAAGCCCTAAAATAATACCTGACCCAGGTGTATTCATCAGGATAGTTAATACTACCTATTGTAAAAAAAAAAAAAAAAATCTTTACTATTTGACCCAGCTATCCCACTCTTTGGTTTATACCCAAAGGACTTAAAAAACAGCATACTACAGTAACACAGCCACATCAATGTCTATAGCAGCTCAATTCACAATATTTAAGCTATGGAACCAACCTAGATGCCCTTCAACAGATGAATGGATAAAGAAAATGTGGTACATATACACAATGGAATATTACTTAGCCTTAAAGGAGAATGAAATTGTGGCATTTGCAGGTAAATGGATAAAATTTGCTAAGTGAAATAAGCCAATCCCCAAAAATCAAAGACCAAAAGTTTTCTCTGATAAGCAGATGCTGATCCATAGTGGGGCAGGGGCCGGGGTTGGGGGTGGTGGTAGAATGAAGCAAGAATGAAGGAACTTTGGATTGTGCAGAGGCTATTGAGGGGAGGGATGGGGCTGTGGGGATGGGAAGGCTGCTAGTATGAAACAGACATTATTACCCTATATACATGTAGGATCACACTATTGATGTGACTCAGCACCGTGTACAGCCGGAGGAATGAGAATTATGCTCCATTGTGTACAATGAGTCAAAAGGCATGCTGCTATCACGTAAAACTAATTAGAACAAATTTCTTAAAACCCTAGAATCTCATGATTAATACAAAGTGAGCAGCTGTCCTTAAATTTCACCTTCAAGCAGTGACTCAGGAGGGTTCAGGGCTCTACCATCACAAGGCTCTGCCACACTGAGGTCATTTGCTTGAGCCAGTGAACAGGGAGAAGCACACAGCTCTCAATTGCCCCAGCCCAGGAGCTAAGGAATGTCATCATGTTGGCTGATCTGCCCTGCCTGCAGGACAGCTAGGAAGGGTCCTCTTCCTGCCTGGCAGGAAGACAAAGGAAAAGATGTGACAAATGTTTTCTCTATTCTTTAGACAGACACGCCACAGAAATCTCTTGAAGGAACTGAATCAATTCACTCTAAAACCATTGAGTCTACTTGGGTTTTGTTCTCCCCCTCCCCCCCATAGACTTGTAACTTTTGTTGTGATTTCTTTCATAATCCCACTTTATGTTTTTGTATGTATTCATGAGACTGTTCAGGTAGACTGTTTCTTTTTGTGGTTGTTGTTCTTTAGATATACATGACAGTAGAGTGTATTTTGACATATTGTATACACAGGAGTATATCTTTTTCTAACTAGGTTCTCTTTCTTGTTACTGTACCTGATGTGGAGTTTCACTGGTCAGGTAGTCAAATATGAACAGAGGAAAGTTATGTCCAATTCATTCCACTTTCCTATTCCCATCCTTTTCCCTTCCCTTCATTCCCCCTTGTCTAATCCAATGAATTTCTCTTCTTCCCTGGACGCTTTATTGTGTCTCAGCATCCACATATCAGAGACAACATTCAGTGTTTGGTTTTGGGGGATGGCTTATTTCACTTAGCATGACAGTCTCCAGTTCCATCCAAATGTCAGCAAATGCCATGACTTCATTCTTCTTTTTGGCTGAGTATTATTCCACTGTGTATATACCACATTTTCTTTATGCATTCATTGTTGAAGAGAACCTAAGTTAGTTCCATAGCTTAGCTATTGTGAATTGAGATGCTATAAACATTAATGTGGCTGTGTCGTTATAGCACGCTGATTTTAAGCCCTCTGGGTATATGCCAAGGAGTGGAATAACTGGGTCAAATGGTGATTCCATTCCAAGTTTTCTGAGGACTCTCCATACTGCTTTGCAGAGTGGTTGCACCAATTTGCCGTCCCACCAGCAATGTATGAGTGTGCCTTTTCCCCCACATCCTTGCCAACATTTATTGTAACTTTTATTCTTGATAATTGTCATTCTGCCTGGAATGAGATAGAATCTCAGTGTAGTTTTAATTTGCATTTTTTTTCAATTAATAGAGATGGTGAACATTTTTTCATACATTTGTTGACCAATCATATTTCTTCTGTAAAGTGCCTGTTCAGTTCCTTTGCTCATGTATTGATTGGGTTATTTTTGGTTTAGGTGTCAAGTTTTTTGGGTTCTTTATATATGCTGGGAGTGGCAAAGACTTTTTCCCCATTCTGTAGGCTCTCTCTTTATTGATTGCTTCCTTTGTTGGGAAGAAGCTTTTTAGTTTGATACCATCCATTTATTGATTCTTGATTTTACTTCTTGCACTTTAACAGTCTTATTGAGGAAGTCAGTTCCTAAGCAGATATGATAGAGAGTTGGGCTTACATTTTCTTCTAATAGGCACAGGGTCTCAGGTTACATTTTTCTAGGAAATTATCTAATTAAGTGTTTGAATGCATTAGCCCAAAAAAGAACAAGCCAGGTGCGGTGGCGCACACCTGTAGCTCCAGCAGCTCAGGAGGCTGAGGCAGGAGGATTGCAAGTTCAAAGCCAACCTCAGCAACTTCAAGATTAAGCAGTTCAGTGAGACCCTGTCTCTAAATAAAATTCAAAATAGGGCTGAGATGTGGCTCAGTGGTGGAGTGCCCCTGAGTTCAATCCCTGGTACCAAAGAAAAAAGAAAGAAAGAAAAAAGAACAAATCCCAAGTAGAGTCTCATGGTTTTAGAGTGAATTGATTCAGTTCCTTCAAATGATATTAATCATCCAGGAATGGGGGCACACATCTGTAATCCCTGTAGCTCAGAAGGCTAAGACAGGAGGATCACAGGTTCAAGGCCAGCCTCAGCAACTAAGTAAGACCCGAAGAAACTTAGTGAGACCCTCTCTCAAAATAAAAATAGACAGCACTGGAGATATGGCTCAGTGGTCAATTGCCCCTGGAGACTTAACCTAGTGCTCCCCTTCCCCCACGAAAAAAAAAAAAGGAGAGAGACATTAATGGTGCATCAAGGAGCCTATGTTATTTATCATATTATCACTTTTTACTATCTTTGTCTTCTCTATTATAAAAATATGGAATTATTCAGTTATCTTTTATTAATTTCTATACAACTTGCATAATAGTTGGAAAAGAAAGTTAGTGACTCTTTAATATTCATTGAAATTCACTTCATGGACTCCTAGTAGTAGCACTAGTTAACTTTTCTAAATGTTCCAGGTGCGTTTGAAAATAAAATGCAGTATTAAGTGTTTGGGTTTTATCTATTAAATCAATTTGCTTCATTGTGTTGTTTTAACACACTTTAAGAAGATTGTTCTGATTTTTGTTATATTTTTCGATTACTGAGATTCAGACTAAAATCTTTCACTGTGTGAATCTGGATCTGTTTTTTCCTCCTTGAAATTCTGTCAATTTTGTGTTCTATCAGGCTGTGTTATTTAAGGTATTTTTTTTTTATAATTTACCAGAATATTAGAATCACTGCTGCTATGATCTCAGTATTCACAACAAAATTCATATGTTGAAACTTAACTCCTGAGATGATGATATTAGGAGCTGGAGGCAGGGGGAGATGATTAGTTCCCAAGGGCAGAACCTTCATAAATGGAATTAGTAAGCTTAGAAAAGCCACATCCACAGCCCTATTTTGCATTTTATTTAGAGACAGGGTCTCACTGAGTTGCTAAGTGCCTTGCTTTTGATGAGGCTGGCTTTGAACCAGGAATCCTCATGTCTCAGCCTCCCAAGCTGCTGGGATGAGAGGTGTGCGCCACTGCACTTGGCCAAACTGATAGTTTTGAATACGGTTTTTAATATTATGCTGGACCTCTTGCTAACAAACCTGTTTGACTCTCAAAGACAAAAAGGAGGCTGACCTTATTTCGGGGCCAGCAGGGCTGCAGCGGGCTGAGGGTCCCTAGCAGAGGCTGGAGAGGGCTGTCCTCCTGATGCTTTTTTTTGTCTTGTATCAGATCTTCCCACAGCTTCACCCAGCTGCCCCCAAGGGGAGGGAGGGAACATGACACACTCTGTTAACCAAGTGCCTCCTTCTCAGGCCAAGAGCAGAGCTGAAGCAGTTTCCCATTGTGGCTGTGGCTCAGTGGGAGAGCGCTCACCTAGCAAGTGCGAGGGCCTGGGTTCGATTCTCAGCACCACAAAAAATAAAGAAATAAAATAAAGGTATTGCAATCATCTACAACTAAAAAATAAATATTAAAAAATGCAACCCCATTGGGACTGAGGGGATGGGGAAGACGGTAGAGTGAGACAGACGGTATGTCCCTATAGATACATGTATGATGATGTGACTCTATGTCATGTAGAGCCAGAGGAATGAGAACTTGTGCTCCATTTGTGTGCAATGTGTCAACATGCATTCCACTGCCATCTATAACTAATTAGAACAAATTTTAAAAAATAGAAAGGAGACCAGCAGAATAGAAGAAGGGGATCAGGGGGAGGGGGAGGGAAAGGGGAATGAAATTGATTCAATTATGCTGTTTTATTGTGTGCCCATATGAGTATATCATAGCAAGTCAAACTGTCATATAAAATTATAATACGCCATTTAAAAAGGAAAAAAAAATGCAACCCCAGTCTGGGGAGTCCAGGGTCATTCTCAGGAAAAGAGAAAGTTGAGAATGACCTGAAATAATATGGATTCCTCTTCCCAGTCCACAGAATGATGGGTTTGCAGGAGTTTGAGGCTTAAGTCCAGGTTAGCACAGGAAACTGGAAAGGCCACTCTGGCTCTGGTGTCTAATGTGCACAAGAAACTCCCCCAACACACACACACACACACACACACACACACACACACACTTAGCTCCAGAGAAACCCTACACAAGGAAAGGAAGGAAAACCTAGAAAGGAAGTTGGGCTCCCACTCGCCACGCTGCCTCCATCAGCCCCAATTCAGCGGCAGGACCCATCTTCACCCCCTCCGCTGGGGCAAGTCAGCACCTCTTCACGGTGCCCACACCTAGACCTGGGGTCTCAGAATGGCAAGACTGACGCAGCAGAGGTGGCGAGGCTGTGCCAGCTGCAGAGTTGGGCAAGGATCTCTTTGGGAAGGCTTCTGAAAGGGAGGGGTCAGAAGCCACAGCAGTGACAGAGGAAGAACCCTGGCTGGATGGCACGAGAGCCCTGAGTGTGAGGGCAGCTTGGAAGGTGGCAGGAGAAGTGACAGGGCCACATGGGCCCACAGAGGTAGAGATGACCACCAGGTCAGGCTCATGCAGACCAGTGGCATCTCGAGCTGGACTGAAGTCAGAGGAAGCAGGTATCCGCAGGTGTCAGGTGCAGAGTGCAGGTGTCTCCCTAGTGCTGGGTTCTCCTCCCTCCTCCTAATAAGTCATCTTCAAGGCCTGGCCTGGTCTCTGGACCAGGCTGTAAACACTGGTGCAGGGCCCCTTTCCTTCCAGATGTTTGTCATCAATATCCTGAGAATACAAGAAAGAGGGTTCTCAGAGCAGCTTGAGGACAGAGTGGCCCCAGAGAGACCAGAAGACAATCGACGCCCATTAACATGAATAGCTTAAGCCAGGGATGGGGGAGCACAAGTGTGGTCCCAAGACTTGGGAAGCTGAGGCAGGAGGATTGCAGGTTCTAGGCCATCCTCAGCAAATCAGTGAGACTATGTCTTGAAATTTAAAAAATTTAAACCCCAGGGGGATGGGGGTTACTAGGGGTGAACCCAGAAGTGCTCTACTGCTGAGCCACAGCCCCAGTCCCTCCTTGGCATCTCTTAATCCAATCAAGTCAACAATTCAAATTAACCATGACACCAACCCATAAATTTTAATACTCTAAACATAAAAAGAGGTAAAAAGGAAAGAAAAAAAATACAGTGGAGACAGCACAGCAGATACCTGGCTTTGGGCAGGCAGCCCAGGGCTGGGTGCCATGAGACCTGGCTGGTCACCACTCACAGTTTTCACCTTCCGCTTGCCCTTCAGAGAATCCTGTGCCGTCAGCTGTGCATAGACTGCATTGTCCTTGGCCCTGGGGTCCTCTGGCAATCCCGCATCTGAGTCTTGACAGACTGGAGCTTGATTCTGTGCCAGGGAAACCTCCAACCCTAAACACACACACACACACACACACACACACACTTACACTCACACACACTCAGATACACACACACTCACACACTTCCACTCACACTCACACACTCCAACACACTCTCACACTCACACTCCAACACATACATGCACTCACACTCTCACACACTCTTACACTCACACACTCACACCCACACACGCACTTACACTCATACACTCTCACACACTCACACACTCTCACACATGCACTTATACACATACACTTTTACACACAAACACACACTCATATTCACATACACACACTCACACACTCAAACTCACACTCACTAACACACATACTTACACTCTCACACTCACAACACTCACTTTTACACACACTCACTCCACTCTCACACATGCACTTACACTCACACACTCGCACACACTCGCACTCACACTAAAACACACACACTCATACTTACACTATCACACACACTCACTTTCACACACACTCACTCTCACACATTCACTCTCACACGCACACACTGTAATACACACTCACACTCACTGCAACACACACTCATACACACTGATTGTAACACACACACTCACAATCTAACACACACAAGCACTCACACACACAGTCACACTCACATATGCAATTATACTCATACACACACTCTCACATGCACTTACACTCACACACTTTAATACACACACTAACACATTGTCATATATACACTCACATTCTCTCACACTCACACACACAAACACACACTAACACACACACTCACACACTAACACACACTCGTACTTACACTATCACACTCACACTCACACTCACACATGCACTTAAACTCATACACACTCTTACACACTCACACTCACACACTCATAATTACACTCTCGCACACTCACACTCATACGCACACACACTCACTCACACACTTACACTCACACTCACACACTCACTAAAACACACAATCATACTTACACTCTCACACTCACACTCACTCACTTTCACACACACTCACTCTCACATTCATACACATGGACTCCCACTTACATTCTCACACGCACTTACATTCACACATTCATTGGAGCTTGATTCTGTGCCAAGGAAACCTACAACCCTACACACACAGACACACACACACTTACACTCATACACACTCAGACACACACTCACACGCTCACACACACTCACACTCTAACACACATGCACTCACACACACACATGCACATACACTCATACACACTCTCACACACTCATAAACACTAACACATACACACACTCTCACACACACACACACTCACACACACAGCCAGGAACCCAAGGCCATCATGGCTACACACATCATCCCCTCTACAAGGCCACTTCCTGCCATTAAAATGCAGGAGGAAGGAAGTCCAGGATCCAAGGGGAGAGGGGAGACATCTGGACCCAGAAAGGTAAGTGCAACCTGCCTCTCTCCATCTCCATCTCCGTCTTCTTCTTCTTCTTCTTCTTCTTCTCCTTCTCTCGTAAGTGCCAAAGGAACAGGAACCCTCCGACTCCCAGGATGAAAAACCCAGCCAGGAAGGCCCCTATGGCACCTCTCGTGTGGCCAGCTGTGGGCGCTCATTTCCAGAGCGTTAAGAAAACAAGAGAGTTAAGAGAGGATACAGCATAAGAGAAGCTGACACACCCATTTCCAGGGGAGGTGGAGAAGGTGCAGGTGTCAGGGGGGCCTGGTTCAGAAGCCGCAGAGGGAGGGCGTGGCAGGTCCACTCATTCAAGCAGTGGCCCAGGTCCTTCGTGGAGCAGGGAAGACGGGGATGAGCAAGGTGGGGTCTGTGAACAAGTCATCACCAGGAAGAGACAGAAGCTCTCAATCACCAGGTGAAGGATCTCACTGCAGTAGAGGGTGACCCATGTTCAAGGTCTACAGTGAAACCCCCAAGGACATGCGCAGTCATCTATGTGTGGGGAGTGGCAGGAGTTTCACAGATACTCAGTGTGGCAGGAGCGTCCTGCAGGGGAGGGACAGCACAGGAGGCAGGGCTAGGTGGGGAGGCCCGGGAGGCAGCCGTGAGGCCAGGAGGTTTGGTGGGCCATGTTGAACTTCCTCTGAGACTCCAGGGTGGAGGTGGGGGTCACAGGACCAGGGGTGGTGACTGCACTGACCAGTCAGGCTCCTCCAGCAGCCCCCAGAGGAAGACTGAGAGAGGACGGGGTGCACACAGGTCCCAGGCATTCCGGTTCAGTGAGACACCTACTGGGCACAAACTGCCCAGAACTGAGCCTGACACCTGGGCTAAGAGGAGAGAAGGATGTGTCCCCTGCCCTCATGGTGTCCCACTCAGGGTGGACTCAGACCCAGAAAGGGATCTTTCCACTCAGGGGGGATGGCCATGGGCAGCTCCTTAAAGAGGCTGCACCTTCAGAGCTAGCAGCGGCTTCACACATTAGGGAAGGTCAGCAAGCAGCTGTGTCCCTGTGTGTATGAGGCCACCATTGGGGACACAGGACATTCTAAACCCTACATCCTATGGGGACTAAGTGGAGGTCGACCCCAGAGATGACACAGACAAAGGCCACAATCCGATCTGTTTTTTCAAAGATGACACTGGACACAGGGCATGGGGATGGGGCAAGACAGGTCCTGGAAGGCTGCCCCTGGCCCAGGGGGAAGGGCATGGAGGTGAGGGATATTTAAAGACAGTTGTGAGCTGGATGCAACCCCACACTTCTGGATTGGAGTGACCAAGGGAAGGCAGTGCTGTTCATAAACACAGCAGCAAAAAAGCCAAGGACCTTCAGGCTCCAGAGCCACCTGAGCCCCTCCCTGTGCCCCTCCCTCCTGCAGGTGCACTCACCTGGGCTACAGAGGTCAAGGAGCTGTAAGGTGGCATTTTTCTGGTCCACTGGGTTGCTGAGGACACAGGTGAAGCTGACATTGGGCTGGCTCGGTGGCAGGCTCAAGGCCAGGGTCCAAGGGTTGGGGGGTCCTGGTGCCCCTCTCTGCTCCAGCTCACTGGGGGGACCCTGGACCTCCCAGGTTACATTCAGGACCTCTACAGCCTCTCGGTTCCCACACTCCAGAGTGACATTGCACCAGCTGGGCGTGATGGACGCTGACGTGGTCCAGATCTGGGCAAGGGGCACAGGATCTGAGGAAGGAGGGGACAAAAGGAGACAGCCTCACACATGCCACGCATTGTCCTCCAGTGTCTCGCTGACCAGAGGCAGGAGCCCTAGGAGGAAGCTTGGAGCACGTTACAAATAAAGCACAATTTCCCCAGAGCTACATGTTGACAAGTGACAGCAGCCACTTTATTAAGCTCATGTGATCTCACTAGATGAAAGAAGTCTAAACTTTTTTTACCATGAGAAAATGATGGCTGAATCCCAGTTTTTAAGGACCATTATTCCTAGAAGATAGGGGTCTTCTGGAAGGGAAGGAAGAGTGGGACAGAAGAGCTTGTCTGGGGCCAGGGTCCTTTGTCCTGGGTCTTCAGCTGAGACAGTGCCTGGGACTGCACAGCCTGATTGGGGCAGGACACCAGGCCAGCTCTGGGAGGACCCAGAAAGCTCGGGTCAAAACAGGAGACATTGTGGGAGATACCGTGGCTGCAACAGAGAGCACAGCTCTGCAAGCAGTTAGAATGTGACCCTGAATGTGTGCTCCCGACTGGGGGAGAAGGGTTAGATCCACAGGCCAGTGTGGAAATCACACAGGACCTGCACCTGGAGTCCACTCCCTGCAGAGGGACTGCCCTAGGCAGAGAGGGACTGTGGGGACCCTAGAGTTGGCAAAACGGATCTCCTGGGACATGCAGCAGCATCACTTCTCCTACCCTATAAAGGCTTGCAGAGCAGGATTTGTGGGGTCTGTGGAAGTGAGGCTGGCCTCTCACTGGCCACTCCCTGCAAGGATTGGGGACGGTGAACTAGATACCTGTGGATTCCACATCTTTATCCTCAGAACCTGTGAATATGCTAAGTTATGAGAAAAAGAACTGAGCTTTAAATAAGTTTATCTGAAGAAGCATCAACTATGGCACACTAAGGGTGTCCTAATGAGATGAGTTTATCAAATTGCCAGGGCTGGAAGTAGGGGAGAGGGAAAAGAATTCTAAAGAAACAAAATTGTAAATGTTTAAAATTATCAAACAAAATAGTAAAAGTTAGATGGCTTTTAGGATGAAAAACCCAGGAAGAGCCTGATACTGATTGCACATCAAACACCTACCATGCAAAATACCAGGGAACACTTTACCATGGAGAACAGAGTAGCCATATAATTGATGGACCACTTTTAAAACTGCTGCAACTTGAGATTCCAAGATGGCCACGAATAGAGTACATCACACCCCGTGTACTGCGACACTGTGCAGGTGAATAACGAGTTAGAACGACAAAAAGCTATCTTGTCAGGAATTTACAGCAAAATCGGGGTGCGCCGAAACCTAGAGAAAGGATTTCCATCACCGAGTACCGGTTATTGAGTCTCAAACGCGAGCCAACTGTGCGACCAGAGATCCAGGCTGACTGATCCGCCGCTCGCCACGCAGCCCGCCCCACGGCTACAGACGGTGGGGCACCGCCGAGAAGCGACCAGCAAGCAGAGAGAAACGGTGCTACGGATTCTGTGGAGTCCTGCCAGCTGTGCCCTCACTGAGCTCCGGGCTGAGTCCGGGGTTTGAGACGGGAAAGAAGAGGTCCAGTTCTATCCCCCACAACGGAAAGTCCACCAAGGAAGCCAGTAGCCACCATCTTGGAGAGCTCACGTCACCACCGCCAGTTTCCGACAGATTGCAACAATAAAACAGGTGTGTGTTACTCAGCCCATCTCCCATACAGCGGGGAATTCACATAAGATCTCTCCCAGGCTTTCCGGGGGAGGGATTATCAGAACGAGCCTGCATAGAGACGTGGGGAAAGGTAGAGACACCTGACCTCCAACTCCCCCTCCCATCAGCGGCGAAAACGAAACCTGTCTTGCCAGCTCTGGGGGAGGGGCAAGCAGAAAAAATCAAAACAATAGGGTGCCAATTCCCAATAGCCACCCTCCACACCCAGCAAACCGCAGGCCCAGAGTACACTTTGAACTTCCAAGAGGCATCACACATGGGAAGGCCAAGCTAGCAGGAGAAGCCAGGGGACTAGAGGCCAGGCCCTCACGACTGGGCAGCTAGAGACCACCTGCCCGCCAGCGACCGATTGCCTGCCCGCTGCCCGCACAACTGGGTGGCTAGAGACCGCCCACCCGCCAGCGACCACCTGCCCGCTGCCCTCGCAACTGGGCGGCTAGAGACCGCCCGCCCACCAGCGACCGATCGCCCATCCGCTGCCCGCGCGACTGGGCAGCTAGAGACAGCCCGCCCGCTGGAGACCGCCCGCGGCCCCCGCGACTGGGCAGCTGGAGACCGACCGCAGCTAGACCCTGAGGTGTGGCCCAGCAGGTACAGCGCAGAGACTCTAGGAAGCAGTCTATAGCCAGGCCTTCATGAAGTAGACAACCGGGAGCTGAAACTAACCAGATACAGACCAGTCCCACCCTTCCCTTCGGACACCCCAGCAAGAAGCCTGGGGCCCGCCATAGCAGAGAGGTGATGTCACCAGAGTTCGGCCAATGGAATTCCTTCCCAGCAGAATCCACTTTAGCAGGAGAGAGCAGAAACACAGCAATCAAACAGAGCTGGAAAGTAACGTGAACAACATGAAAAAACAAGGGAAAAAAGGATTACAAACAATGCAGGGCAACTTAAATCTATAGGAGGACCTAGAAGCATCAGAAACATGGATAGGGAAAGAACTCAAGGCATACCTAACTCAGATGGAATGGAATATTAGAGAAGACATGAGACAGCAAGTCCAAGCAATGAAAGTATATTTTGAAAACGAATTAAACAAACAAATTCAAATTGCAAAGAACGAGCTTTACCAGGAGATAGAGTTTTTAAAAAAAAATCAAACAGTAACCTTGAAATGCAGGAAACTATAAACCAAATTAAAAACTCAAACGAGAATATTACAAATAGACTAGATCAAGTAGAAGTCAGAACATCAGATAATGAAGACAAAGTTTATCAACTTGAAAAGAATATAGTCAACACAGAAAGGATGCTTAAATCTCACGAGCAATCTATCCAAGAGATATGGGATGTCATAAAAAAACAAAACTTGAGAGTCATCAGGATAGAAGAAGGTATAGAGGTTCAAACCAAAGGAATGGACAACCTATTAAATGAAATAATTCTAGAAAACGTCCCAGAGATGAAAGATGGAATGGATTGCAATATCCTGGAAGCTTACAGGACCCCAAACATTCAAAACCATAATAGACCAACTCCAAGACATATAATTATGAAGATAGCCAACATACAGAACAAGGAGAGAATATTAAAAGCTACGAGGGAAAGGAGGCAGATTACATTCAGGGGTAAACCAGTTAGGTTAACGACTGATTTTTCATCACAGACTTTGAAAGCGAGAAGATCCTGGAACAATGTATTTCAAATGCTGAAAAGTAATAGATTCCAACCAAGAATACTGTACCCAGCAAAATTAAGCTTCAGATTTGACAATGAAATTAAAATATTTCATGATAAAAAAAAGCTAAAAGAATTCGCAGCCAGAAAACCAGCACCGCAAAGCATTTTGAGCAAAATACTACAAGAAGAGGAATTGAAAAATAGCGCCCAAAACTAACAGTGGGAGGTATCTCAGTAAAGGGAGAAAAACAACCAAAGAGGAAAAACTAGCCAAACTAAAATAAATAAATAAATAAACATGACTGGAAGTACAAACCATATTTCAATTGTAACCTTAAATGTTAATGGCCTAAATTCACCAATCAAGAGACATAGGCTAGTAACCTGGATTAAAAAAACAAATCCAACAATATGCTGCCTTCAGGAGACACATATGATAGGAAAAGACACACACAGGCTGAAGGTGAAAGGTTGGGAAAAATCATACCACTCACATGGCCCTCGGAAGCAAGCAGGAGTGGCCATACTCATATCGAATAAAATCAACTTCAAACCTAAGTTAATCAAAAGGAATAAAGAAGGACACTATATACTGTTAAAAGGAACCATCCACCAACAAGACATAACAATTATCAATTTGTATGCACCAAACAATGGTGCTGCAATGTTCATAAAACAAACTCTCCTCAAGTTCAAGAGTCAAATAGACCACAACACAATAATTATGGGTGACTTCAACACACCGCTCTCGACATTGGACAGATCCTCCAGACAAAAGCTGAATAAAGAAACTATAGAACCCAATAACACAATCAATAACCTAGACTTAACCGACAGATATAGAATATATCAATCATCATCAAGTGGATACACGTTCTTCTCAGCAGCACATGGATCCTACTCAAAGATAGACCATATATTATGTCATAGGGCAACTCTTAGTAAATATAAAGGTGTGGAGATAATACCATGCACCATATCTGATCATAATGGAATGAAACTGGAAATCAATGATAAAAGAAGGAAGGAAAAATCCTGAATCACCTGGAAAATGAAGAATATGTTACTGAATGATCAATGGGTTACAGAAGACATAAAGGAGGAATTTAAAAATTCTTAGAGATAAATAACAATACAGACACAACATACTGGAATCTATGGGACACAATGAAAGCAGTTTTTAGAGGGAAATTCATTTCCTGGAATTCTTTCCTCAAAAAAAGAAAAAAACAACAAATAAATGAACTCACACTACACCTCAAAACCCTAGAAAAGGAAGAACAAAACAACAGCAAATGTAGTAGAAGACAAGAAATAATTAAAATCAAACCAGAAATCAATGAAATTGAAACAAAAAAAAACCATTGAAAAAATTGATAAAACTAAAAGTTGGTTCTTTGAAAAAATAAATAAGATCGACAGGCCCTTAGCCATGCTAACGAAGAGAAGAAGAGAGAGAACTCAAATTACTAACATACGGGATGAAAAAGCAATATCACAACAGACACTACAGAAATACAGAAGATAATTAGAAAGTATTTTGAAACCCTATATTCCAATAAAATAGAAGATAGTGAAGATATCGATAAATTTCTTAAGTCATACGATCTGCCCAGATTGAGTCAGGAGTATACACACAATCTAAACAGACCAATAACAAAGGAAGAAATAGAAGAAGCAATCAAAAGACTACCAACCAAGAAAAGCCATGGACCAGATGGGTATACAGCGGATTTCTACAAAACCTTCAAAGAAGAATTAATACCAATACTTTTCAAGCTATTTCAAGAAATAGAAAAAGAAGGAGCTCTTCCAAATTCATTCTATGAGGCCAACATCACCCTGATCCCAAAACCAGACAAAGACACTTCAAAGAAAGAAAACTACAGACCAATATCTCTAATGAACTTGGATGTGAAAATTCTCAATAAAATCCTGGCGAATCGAATACAAAAGCATATCAAAAAAATTGTGCACCATGATCAAGTAGGATTCATCCCTGGGATGCAAGGTTGGTTCAATATACGGAAATCAATAAATGCTATTCACCACATCAATAGACTTAAAGATAAGAACCATATGATCATCTCGATAGATGCAGAAAAAGCATTCAACAAAGTACAGCATCCCTTTATGTTCAAAACACTAGAAAAACTAGGGATAACAGGAACATACCTCAACATTGTAAAAGCTATATATGCTAAACCTCAGGCTAGCATCATCCTAAATGGAGAAAAACTGAAGGCATTCCCTCTAAAATCTGGAACAAGACAGGGATGCCCTCTCTCACCACTTCTATTCAATTTAGTTCTTGAAATACTAGCCAGAGCAATTAGACAGACAAAAGAAATTAAAGGCATAAAAATAGGAAAAGAAGAACTTAAATTATCACTATTTGCGGATGATATGATAATATATCTAACAGACCCAAAAGGGTCTGCAATGAAACTGCTAGAGTTAATAAATGAATTCAGCAAAGTGGCAGGATATAAAATCAACACGCATAAATCAAAGGCATTCCTGTATATCAGCAACAAAACTTCTGAAATGGAAATGAGGAAAACCACTCCATTCACAATATCCTCAAAGAAAATAAGATACTTGGGAATCAACCTAACAAAAGAGGTGAAAGATTTATACAATGAAAACTACAGAACCCTAAAGAGAGAGATAGAAGAAGATTTTAGAAGATGGAAAAATGTACCCTGTTCATGGATAGGCAGAACTAACATCATCAAAATGGCGATATTACCCAAAGTTCTCTACAGGTTTAATGCGATGCCAATCAAAATCCCAATGGCATTTCTTGTAGAAATAGATAAAGCAATCATGAAATTCATATGGAAACAAAAGACCCAGAATAGCAAAAGCAATTCTAAGCAGGAAGTGTGAATCTGGAGGTATAGCGATATCAGATTTCAAACTGTACTACAGAGCAATAGTAACAAAAACAGCATGGTACTGGTACCAAAACAGGCGGGTGGACCAATGGTACAAAATAGAGGACACAGAGACCAATCCACAAAACTACAACTATCTTATATTTGATAAAGGGGCTAAAAGCATGCAATGGAGGAAGGATAGCATCTTCAACAAATGGTGCTGGGAAAACTGGAAATCCATATGCAACAAAATGAAGCTGAACCCCTTTCTCTCGCTGTGCACAAAAGTTAACTCAAAATGGATCAAAGAGCTTGATATCAAATCAGAGACTCTGCGCCTGATAGAAGAAAAAGTTGGCTCCGATCTACATATTGTGGGGTTGGGCTCCAAATTCCTTAATAGGACGCCCATAGCCCAAGAGTTAATAACAAGAATAAACAAATGGGACTTACCTAAACTAAAAAGTTTTTTCTCAGCAAGAGAAACAATAAGAGAGGTAAATAGGGAGCCTACATCCTGGGAACAAATTTTTACCCCTCACATTTCAGATAGAGCCCTAATATCCAGAATATACAAAGAACTCAAAAAATTAAACAATAAGATAATAAATAACCCAATCAACAAATGGGCCAAGGACCTGAACAGACACTTCTCAGAGGAGGACATACAATCAATCAACAAGTACATGAAAAAATGCTCACCATCTCTAGCAGTCAGAGAAATGCAAATCAAAACCACCCTAAGATACCATCTCACTCCAGTAAGATTGGCAGCCATTATGAAGTCAAACAACAATAAGTGCTGGCGAGGATGTGGGGAAAAGGGTACACTTGTACACTGCTGATGGGACTGCAAATTGGTGAGGCCAATTTGGAAAGCAGTATGGAGATTCCTGGGAAAGCGGGGAATGGATCCACCATTTGACCCAGCTATCGCCCTCCTCGGACTATTCCCTGAGGATCTTAAAAGAGCGTACTATAGGGATACTGCTACATCAATGATCATAGCAGCATAATTCACAATAGCTAGACTGTGGAACCAACCTAGATGCCCTTCAATAGATGAATGGATAAAAAAAAATGTGGCATTTATACACAATGGAGTATTACGCAGCACTAAAAAATGACAAAATCATGGAATTTGCAGGGAAATGGATGGCATTAGAGCAGATTATGCTAAGCGAAGGTAGCCAATCCTTAAAAAACAAATGCCAAATGTCTTCCTTGATATAAAGAGAGCAACTAAGAACAGAACAGGGAGGAAGAGCATGAGGAAAAGATTAACATTAAACAGAGACGAGTGGGGGGAGAGAAAGGGAGAGAGAAGGGAAATTGTATGGAAATGGTAGGAGACCCTCAATGTTACACGAAATTACATATAAGAGGTTGTGAGGGGAAAGGGGGGAAACAAGGGAGAGAATTGAACAACAGCAGATGAAGTAGAGAGGGAAGATGGGAGGGGAGGGGAGGGGGCATAGTAGGGGATAGGAAAGGTAGCAGAATACAACAGTCACTAATATGCCATTTTGTAAAAATGTGAATGTGTAACCAACGTGATTCTGCAATTTGTATTTGGGGTAAAAATGGGAGTTCATAACCCACTTGAGTCAAATGTATGAAAGATGATATGTCATGAGCTTTGTAATGTTTTGAACAACCAATAAAAAAATAATAATAAATAAATAAGTTTATCTGGATAGTCCCAGAGTCCTCACAAGAACCCTTAAATGTGGAAGAAGAGTCAGGCACGGTGGTGCACACCTCCAATCCCAGCAGCTCAGGAGGCTAAGACAGGAGGATCTGAAGATCAAAGCCAGCCTCATGTGGTCTTAAGCAACTTAGAAGGACTCTGACTCAAAAAAATACGAAATTTTTAAAAGGCTGGGAGTATGAGTCAGTGGTTAAGCACCCCAGGTTCAATTCCCGGTACCAAAAAATAAAAAGGCAGAGTGGAGAAGGAAGGAAAAGAGCAGGTATGAGGGAGGCAAGAGAGACTCCCCCTCCCTTTCTAGTTTAGGAGGAGGAGGGGACCTCAAGTCCAGGGAGGCTGGCAGCTCTGGAGAGTAGGAAAGGCAGGAAAGGATCCCCTCTAGATCCTGTAGAACAAAATGCAGCCCTGCCCACACTTGGATTTTAGCCCAGTGACAACCATGTCTGACCTCGACCTGCAGCATATTGTGGATACACATTTGTGTTGTTTTAAACCACTATTATGCATTGTTAAAAGAGCAAAGGAAATCTAATACACAAAAGCAGTAAATTTAGTCTTACAAAGAGGAGGAAATGTTACTGAAAAAATGGCCAAATTTCCATTTTGTCTCCCAAAACACAGATGTGATTTTTCTCCCTGGTATAAACCTCAGCTCTACTGTTTGTGATGAATATCTGACGTGTTGGTGCCTGAGGAGAATCCTGCAGCATGTGGTCTCAGAGCTTCCTAGACTCAAGGAAGGAGGCCAGCCCTGGGACTAGGTGAGACTGTCACTTACCGTAAACAGTGAGGTGGAAAACTGGTTTAATTTCTCCTCCCATCTGAAACATGATCTGGGCCCAGTACTGCCCACTGTCCTGTGAGGTCACATTGTTAATCCTCAGGGATGACATACTGGGCACCTGGACCCTCTGCTTGTACTTGTCCTGGAGACCGAGCCATAGTGGATCTTCCTTCCCATTCTGGAGTCTCAGCATGAATGTGGAGTTTGACTCAGAGGTGAAGCCCCAGGAGATCTCCTGTATCTTGGGATCCTCTGGCTCCTGGATCACTTGCAACAAGACCGAACCTCCCTGGATCGCCTTCAGATAAGTGTGGGTTCTAAAACCTTTAATCCCAGATCCATGAGCTCCAGAACTCTTGGCTAAAGTGCTGCAGGCACCTAGGGCATTGGGAAAGAGAACATGGACATTTCCTCAAGGAGAACAAGTGAAACAGAAATTGTCTTCTTAACCAGTTCATCCAGCACCTTCCTTGACCCAGGGATGCAGCCTTGTCCAGTGAATTGGAACCAATTCTAAGATCAAGTCCTCGTTCTGCTGAAGTTATTTCTGGGTGGGTTACTTCACTGGACTAACCTTCATTTCCTTATCTGTCTTGACGTGGTGACATGAACTAAATGACACTGTGAATTGAAAGCGCCTAGCTCACTGTCTGGAACATGCTGAGTGTGTAAGTGTAGGAGGTGGCTCCTAAAATGTCACCCAAGGATCTCTCTCTGGTGTTCACACCTATGTGTCATCCTCTCCCGCAAAGAGTGTGCACCTAGCAAAAATGATGGGCTGTCACTTAATTCAACCATTTTCCACCAGAGCACGGGTTCCTCCTGGCTCACTCCTGCTCCCTGTCCTCGGCCTCTCTCCTGCTCACTCTGATGAGGCCAGCTGCCATACTGACAGCGGCCCCGTGGAGACGCCCACGTGGCAAGGTCCTGAGGGCAGCCCTGGCCAATAGCTGGTGAGTAACTGAGCTTCCAGGCAGGCTCCACAGGGAACTGCATCCTGTCCACAGTCCCACTGTGATGAGCTCCAAGCAGAAGCTTCCCAGTGGAACCTCGAGATGATGGCACTGGATCTGTTTCTGCAAGACCCTGGGCCAGAAGACCCCGCTGTAGAGCAGTGCTGACCCCAGACCCCATGAGGGAGAACTCATGATGTTGCTTTTGGGCAACCAGTCATGGGGCAGCAGGTTGCTCCACAGATTAAAACATTCCTGAAGGTGCGTCCCCTTCCCCTTCTTCTAGAAAGTGAGTCACTCAAGATAGTATTGGTGGTGGTGTGGAATCAGTTATAAATCTCTGGGACTTAGGACAGGGAAATTCACGTCTCATTCGTAGGACATTAAGAGACAATGAGGGCGGGGTTACGCATGAGTGTGGGTCCACCACCTTAAAGCTGAGCCTGAGGAGTCCACCGCATCCTCTCAGCCTCCTAAGGTCCCACACAGGGAAGGGGGACAGAGAGTCACACCTGTTTGTTCCCTGCAGCAGCTCAAGGGTGACCAATGTATTTCACGTTTGGAGACCAGATGATGATGAAAATGTGGAGGAGCAAGTGGAACAGTTGGTGAATACACGTTCGAGCCAACAAGAGAGAACTTTCTTGAGCAGCCCCTGGAGTCCCCATCAGTATTCCTTAGTGGCTGTCCCCTGCACGGCCCTGGACAGTAGGCCTCCTTGAGCCCTTCCTCTCCCATCAGGCACAGCCCCAGGGAACCTGGGGACCCTCTCTTCTTCCTGGAGACCAGGTAGGATTTAATCACCAGGGGAAAGCACAGCCCAACCATCTTGTCCTTGAGGATGGACAGTTCCTGCTTTCAGAAGCCCAGGCTCCACGGAGGTGTGCCACATCCAGTACGCACCCCAAATTTGCAGATTTCTCCTTGTGTCACGTCTCTCACTTGTGAGTATCTGTAACATGCCCCAGTGTACAAACGCCACATTTCCTTTTTCCAAGGAATCATCCATTCACGGGCACTTGGGCTGCTTCCACATCTTAGCTGTTGGGAACAGCGTCTCAGTGAACACGCCAGCTTCAATGTTTGGCCCAGAAGTGGGGAGCTGGATAATATAGGAGTTTTGGTTTTAGTTTTGGAGGACCTTCCATTTCTTCAAAATAGCGACACTAATTTACATTCCCACCAACAGAGTCTGAGGGTTCATTTTCTGCCTATCTCTGCCAGTGCTTATGAACATCCATCATCCTAATAACAGCCAAGCTAACAATGTGACTGATATCTCCCTGTGTAAAATTCTCATTTCCCTGATGATCAAAAATGTTGGCTATTCATTTTTTATAGATCCGTTGGCTATTCATTTCTCTTCTTTGAGAAGGATCTGTTCAAAACTTTAAATCAAGTTACCTGTTTCCTTCTATCGAGTTACTTAGTTCTTTACACATTAGGGCTATTGGCCCCATATCAGACATGTGCTTTGCAGATATTCTCTCCCAATACATGGGCTGTCTCTTCACTCTGTGGTTTCCCTTGATGTGCAGAAGGTTTTTAATTTGATGCAATTCGGCCAATTTTTGAATAGGGAATCCTATTCAAGACATTACCACCCAAGCTCATGGAACTTTTCCTTTATGCTTTCTTCTAGAGGTGTTAGAGTAGCAAACCTTATGATTAAGTCTTTTATCCATTTTGAGTTGTTTTTTTCTCTTTTTAATTTTTTTTATTCTAATATGTTTATATATATATATATATATATATATATATATATATATATATATATATATGACAGCAGAATGCAATTCAATTTATATTACACATATAGAGCACAATTTTTCATGTCTCTGGTTGTACACAAAGTAGAGTCACCCCATTCGCATCTTCATCCATGTTCTTAGGGTAATGATGTCCATCTCATTCCACCATCTTTCCTACCCCCATGTCCCCTCCCTTCCCCTCTCTCCCCTTTGCCCTGTCTAAAGTTCCTCTATTCCTCCCATCTTCCCATATGCATTTACTGAACACACTGTCCTTTCCCCGATGTATATTCTTAGCACATTTGTCAAACATCACATCAACTGACTGTAAACATTGGGTTTATTTATGGAATTTCTTTTTTTTCCATTGGTCAATGTGTCTGTTTTTGTGCCAATACCCTGCTGTTTCAATTTCAATAACATTGTATTTTCAAATCAGGGAGTGAGATTCAGTTTTATTCTTTTTGCTTTTGCTATTTGGGGTCTTTTCTGATTCCATACAAATTTTTTGGAGAATTTTTTTTTCTGTGAAAAATCTTACTGGAATTTTGTAAGAATTCCATTAAATCTATTACAGTTTATTTTACCCAGGAGTCGAAAATGTTATTTCATGAACTCAAAGGTATCAAAAGTTTTTTTTAGTACTTATTGGTTTCATATCTTGCTTAAAAGGATAGCCCTCCCTTCAAAAGTATGTTTCTCATTTTTTCTAGTTTTCTCCAAGTTCTTTTTGTGGTGTCAACATTTATTGTTAGGTTTCGATCAACCAAAATTAAGTTTGGTTTCAGCTAGGTCCCACAGCTGGATGGTACAAAAGAGTAGTTACAAGGTTGGACTTCACCTCAGTGAAGTCAGAGTTAGTCTAGGTCCCCCATCTTCTGGCTGTGTGAATTTGAACAGTTACTGAACCTCTCTGGCTTCAATTTTGTCATCTATGAAATGGGAGTGATGGTGCTTACTTCAGTGAATTCTTCTTTGGATGTAAGCAGAAAGAGCTTTGGGCACAGTATTCAATAACTGTGCTGTTCCCATTCACTGCTGTTGTTATCATGATGGGCATTAGTGGACCAGCACCCCCAGGTCAGAACCACACATTCCCAGTTCCAGGCTGGTGTCCCTTCCTCCTGTTCAGCTGCCCCTCTTGGGAGTCTCCTCCTGAGTACAGGGATGGGATGCAGGAGTCAGTCTTCCTGTGGCTTCAACTTCCTTGGTGCCTGTAGGTGTCAAGGTCCAGCCAGGGCTTTCCTGTTTATAAAAGTCAAGTTTAAAAGGAAATTTACTGTGATGCAGGCACCATTACCAAGCACCACAGGATCCCTGTGCATCCAGGAGTGGGAGTGGGAAGGTGGAGGGAAGGACTTGTTTTCCCAGGCTTGAATGAAGATTTTAAATTTTATATTATTAATGCAGGTTGCCTGTCTTCCCCTTCTTGAGTTGCTCTATAATACAAAAGTATCATGTTACATTGAAAACAAGTATCCAAGTTGTGGAGTTTTCAAATGAAAGCAAATTGTGCCCCATCCCAAGGTAAGCACTGGAAATGACGTGTGCCCAGAGACACTCCAGCCCGTTGAGCCTGGGTGTCTATTCATAAGTGCCTCTCAACCTTCCCACTGGCCTGAGGTGCCCTTCATTCTCCCTTTGAAAGGGCTGTGACATCCTATGGTCCCCTCTTTAATTAATAAGAAAATACAATTATCCTTTAGCACTGTGGTCATCCAGCCTAATCAGAGTTTAACACATTTAAATATGTAATTCTGGGTGTGAAAATGGGCCATACACCACAACTTCCCTGTTTGTAAAAACTCTTTGCAAGTTGTTTTTTCAGGATGCAGCTGCAGACCTAGAGAGCTGAGAGGAACCAGAAGTCTCCAAGGACGAGAAGCTGAGGAACCAGAAGAGGGTCTTGTGGACCTGGGTTAGAAGCCAGGGTGCAGCCACAGCTGCAGGAGGGAGCATGGGGTCAGAGAGACCAGTGCACTCACAAAGTACCCAGAGGTTCCACCAGGCCCAGGGCACCTGGTGTGGACCATGCCACCAAGACTCCCGACTCCAGCCAGCTGGTCTTCTGTTTCTCATCCCTGCCTTAAGTCCCTTCCTGCTCCCTGGGGAGACAGAGTGTGCCTGCCTCCTCTCTCCCTGTCAGGGGAGCAACTATCAAGTTCTTTCTTCTTGCAAAACCTGGTGCCGTGTTGGTTTCTCTGTGCATGGACAGCAGGCGCTTGCTGGCTGTCAGTACAGTGGTGGTCAGTACATTTAAGTGCTCTGTTTAATGCAGTACCCAGAGAAACAGCCTGCTATCCCATGGGGAAACAGCGCAATGGGGTGCTCTGACAGCCTGTATTTCAGACCATCCTCAGGGATTTGATGAGGTCATTGTGGTCACCACAGTGTCTGTGTCCCCCTGCCAGCATTGTAGGAGGGTCCTGCAGGGAAGCCAGTGTTTTGTGCTGAACAGGAACCTCAAGGTCTGGCAGAGGCTTTCATCAGCTGGTCTAAAGGGCACAGCTGCAACATGGCCTCCTGGGCAAGGTGTGCAGACCACATCTGCAAGGGTGTGAGGAGGGAGAGTCCTTGGGCAGGAGATCTGAGGACACCAGCCCTGAGGTCCCCCTCAGGAGCAGAGGCAGAGAAGACCAGGTCAGGTGGAGGAGCTGAGGAGCAGGATTTCCTCCCTCCCTTGGGGGCTGAAGAAATGGCCACAGGGACAGCTCAGGGTGTCCTCTCTTAAGGAGCCCTAAACAGGCTCCCCAGCTGTGACTCCCTGTCAGGTGACAGGATAGGACAGGTCAGGACGAGAAAGACAGAGCAGAGGCCTTACAGTGGCCACAGAAAGCCCTGTGTGAGTGGAAGCCCTGGGTCACCCTGGAGGGGCTTCAGAGGTGAGCTGTCAAGCCCCTCCTGTTAGAGAGCAGGGGGTCCCTGGGGAGTGGACTTGTCCTGGTGACACAGGGCACAGCCAGTCCTGGAGCCCAGGATGCTGCCCGTCAGCTCTCCCCATCTCCCTGCCCATTAGGAGCTCTGCCCCTCCCTGAGCTGTTACCTGGTCCCTCCAGGGCCTGAGCAGCTGATGGAGTCTCATCCTCCAACTGTCCCCCCTGCAGGGACAGAGTCCTTGGAGTGGCTGAGCACAGCTGAGACTTCTGGCTCGCCCAGGGTTGGACAGCCAGCCTGCCCAGACTCCCACTTCCTAGAAGAGGGAACCACAAATACAGAGGAGGGTCAGCCTCAGCCTGTGGGAGGATCAGCCCCTGAGGCCCAATGGTGGGTGACATCAGCAAGACAGAGGAGGGAGGTAGAGAGGGGAGGCAGCAGGAGCTCTCTGACCTACAGAAGATGCTCATCCTAAACAAGGAAAGAGGAGCCATGGAGCATATGGGCTTTACCAGGTAGAGGGTGAAGTTCATACTACAAAATTAAAAATGCAACCGTGGGCATAGAACATGGTTCCTCTGTATGTCATAACGTCGTGTCCCTATCACCTCCTTCTCATGCAAACAGCAGTTCCCTGTCAGCTGATGCATGAAGCCCTAAGTACCTTCCTTGATGACCTCTCCACTGTCTCTGTGTCTCTCTCTGGGGTCCATAGTGACCCAGACCCTTCTCCAGCTCCCTGCCAGCAGAACAGGGCATTCAGTAAATGCTGTTGCTATCAACGTGGGGGAGTCCCCACAAGTCCAGAACCACACCCTCTGCAGTCACCAGTGTCTCTGGAAAATTCCAATGTGAAACTAGCTGTCCTCAGGTTCCCTCCTTCCCTTCCACACTTCCCCATCCACCACATGCGGGAAAGGGCTTGTGATTTAATAGGGGAAGTTCACCACCACTCTCTCAATCACTGCTTCACCTCCATCTCTCCCCCCAAGCAAGGCTGAGTGAACAGGGGACAATCCAGAAACCAAAGAAAAATGCAACCGTGGGACTCCAGGCTTCCAGGAAGGATGCAGAGCAATTTAGGGGTGAGGCTCCTTCCACCAAGAGCCTCTTACAAAGCTCCTCTGCAACCAGGTTTGTCCCATTTGGGTCCACGGAGGGCAGGCCTGTGGGGCAACCATTTCAACCTTCCCAGTTCCTGTGTGGCCTTGAGCGAGTCACTGTCTCCCTCTGGATTCAGATTGGGAATCCCTAAATGAGAAATGTGGAGTCTTTCCTCCCACCCCCTCCTTCCCTCCCTCTTCCCTGCTTTCCTTCTCATCTTTCTTCCTCCCTTTTCTTTTTTCTTTCCCTCCATAATTTTCCAACCCCAGAGCCTACTGAAGAAAACACTACACCATTTAACATACTTCTTATTTACACAGCATTGTGAAATGGGGAAAGTCTATACTTTGCTGTTCACAAAAAGTTGTCCACTTTAAAAAAAAGAAAGAAAAAGTTGTCCATTCATAAGTACCACACACTAACTGAGGTGCCACTGGATGCCAAACAGTTGCCCATTTAAAATGGGGTCCTAGCCCCTTACACTTGCAAAGTTCATTGTTCACTGAATATGTCCTATTCCACAAGTGCTCTCTAACCCATTAAATTGCATATAATTCCTTGCAAGTTCACTTAGTAGCTGGTTTATTTGTTTGTTTGTTTTTTAACTATAACAGTAACAGCTTTCACCAAGTTATCCAAAACAACTGAAATCAGTGTATGATAGCAGTACACGAATTTCAATGTCTATAGATAGTACACTTCAATTAGCCAAGGTAGGAAACCAGCCAAGGTGTCCATCAACAGACCAACAAATTTTAAAAGTGTGACAAATATATGATTTTACTCAGCCATGAAGACTAAAATGATGTTATTTGCAGGAAAATGAAAGGAATTGGAGAACATCCTGCTAAGTGAAATAAGCCAGATTCAGAAAGTCAAGGGTTCAATATTTTCTCTCCCATGAAGAAGTTAGAGAAAAAAAAAATTTTTTTAAGTGCAGTATTTCATAATAGTGGAAGAAAAATGCTAGAGGAAAGGTCAGGGCCAAGGGGGAGGGAGGATAGAAGTAAATAGGAAGAATAGTATGGGAGCTGCTGCAGCCCCTGGTCCTTGAGTGATGAGAGTGTGGAGATGGGGCCACCAGCCACGGGCTGTGTGTGTGACCTGTGGGCCCCGAGCACCCAAGGTGGCCTGGACCCACGTTGCCCCACTGTTTGGGTGGGCCTCGCTCTGGTCTTTTCTTAGCTCACTCTGCCATGATCCCCACACAGCGCATAGATGGCCATGGCCTCCCTAGATGCTGGTCACCCTCTGACAGCAGACATCATGGAGCTAGACTCAGCCCCCTGAAACCTGACCCCTTGCCTCATTTGAATGGCTTCTTCCCAATAAAAGGGTTCAGCACAGGAGCCCTCTCTCTCTTTCCAAAGGTCCCTAAAGTCAGAGGAGCCATCTCAGGACCCAGAGAAAAAGGTATTTTGCTGTCTCTATATAATTATTTCACGCAGCCCAGTTCACCTGGAGCTACCCTGAGTGTCGAGTCGTGGAACGTGACAATCGGTGGCCTGTAAGGTGACTGCAGGGTGATTTTTAGAAATTTAGTGGGTTTGGAATTTCTCTCCAGAAGTTAAGCATGCTTAGGATGTCAGAGTATTGTGGGCTGAATTGTAGAAAGTAGACAGAAGGGAAATCTGTGACGTTAAACTTTTTTTAATATTTGTGAATATTATGTCTTTAGAAGAAAACCTTATTTTTGCAATTCTAGAGACCCTAAATAAATGTAAAAATTATTAAGACGATTAATGGGATATGTTAGGTTCAGTCCTCTCCCATGGGAAAAGCACTTTTATGGACTTTTTTGGATTGTTTTTTGTGAATATTTATATTTTGGAATATTAGATAAAGATTTTTGGGGTTTATGTACTAAAAGTCTGTGCTTAGGGAGTAAGAAACAGGAAAAAAAGATTTTGTGATGAGATTTGATACAAGGATTCTTTACCTGTAGAGAGGTGAATTTTATTTTTCTATTATTTTTGTGAATACTCAGTGTGTACTGAACCTCTTTGCTACATTCTTGTCCCATTGGATCAGAATGTCTATAACTCAGCAGCTGTTCCCTATGGGGTCTGTAACTGGACCCACCTCCAGCAGTGCCTTTAACCCTTAAACAACCTGGCCTGGGTGCCAAACGCAGACCGCCTTAACATCTGATAGTAACACTGGCGTCTGCCATTAAAACTCACTTCTAAGGTGCCACGTGCTGCAAGGGAAAATACAAAAGATAGGAGAACACGCGCTGCAGCGAGCACTATTAGGAAAAACTGCAGAACTATATAACAATTATAAGAAATACATATGCTTCTTTATATTTTGCTTCTAATTTTGAAGGTTATGAGGATGCATTTGCTTGTCAAAGAAACAAAGCCGGTAATGTTCCTATGGTTACCAAAAAATCCTTATTCTTTTCAATTCTAACTATGTAATTTAAAAAAAAAAATGAATACAATATACACAAGGATCTTAGTTTAGCTGCATCACGTGACATCAAATAAGAGTGCACTCCTAGTTAAGAATAAATCGAAATGGATCCAAAATTAAAAAAAAAAAATTAAAAAAAAAAAAAAAAAAGAAATGGATCCAAAATTAAGAACCACATGGTTACATGAAGTTTATACAATTATAAGTTATGCTCTTATTCATATTATATATTTTTCTAGATATTTGAATAACCTATATTACTCCATAAAATAATTAACATATATGTCTAATTTTTTAATTAATATATATTTATTTGTTGTTTTTCTTCAATAGAAAACACAAAATTTATATATTTCTTTTACATGCATTTATCTGATACTCTGCCTTTTAGTTTCAGATATTTGAAATAAATTATTTTTCTATGAATTTACTTTCAAGACATAAAACAACCACCGAGTAATCTCTAACTCTCAAATTATTGTACAAACTTTATAAAATAATAAACAAATATAATTCTGTCTACAGAAACATCCACGGACTTTAACTATACTTTCATTGAGATATTTCTTATCAAAGTACAATAATTTGTTTAGATTCTAAGGTTTTCAAAAATTATTCCAAAGTATAACCAAGAAAAATTCTAAAAGGAAAAGAAGATGCATCAACAGAGAGGAAACACACATTGGAGGTCCTCAGAACAAAACAGAAATCATCTTTGGGTAAAACAAGGTCTTTATATTCTAGATTTTAATGATAAAAGTATTTTACTATATAGGAAAATCTTCATATGATTATCTAGACAGGTGCTGTATATACTGCACTGACGATAAAAATTTTAGCTGATTAATTCAAGGCTATTTAAGGCTATTTCCCTGATTTTACTATACTGATGTGAGCTGAGATTTTGTCCACATTTTTACATGATAAAGACCTATTACAATATTAAGTTTATTTCCTTAAAGGAAGGTCTTTATTTCCCAATGATTCTTACTGTTTAAGGCAAAGATTATTTTTAGTGAATAAATTCACATCTTTAATTAAACACTAAATATATTAAACTGCTAACTTAGATCCCAATTTTGACAATTCTCCCTGGAGATTAAATTTGATGATTCAAAGACACTGCTGATCCTTGCATATAACTTTTGTTTGTTGGATTGTTGTGAGATTTGAGAGAACATTTTCTTAGGACTGATGTTCTCCAAATCAAGGTTGTACATGGGTCTTGAACATGGAAGTTGCAAAACTTGTTGGAAATTCATTGGTATTATGTAAGTTCTTTCACTGAACCTATTATTCATTAAAGAATATGGTAAGATTTATATACTACTCCCCACAGAGGGAAGTAACCTTAATCATATTTTCTAAAAGGACAATTGAGACCCCTATTTAAAGGATAACATTCTAAGATATTATGAAACCTTCTCTCAAGAAGAGATTGAGGGCTCCTTATAATTTAAACTAATTATATTATGATTTATACCAGGCCTTTTAAATAAAGAAAAGGGGGAAAACAGGACCCCACAGACACATATTAGATCTTACCAAATATTTTTAAATTTTTTCTTAATTGTTTTATTGAGAGCTTTACTGTTACTGAACATGATTCAGTACCTTAAATCAGATTTCAAAAGATAGAGTTGAAACCTGTCATCATGAAAATGACTGAAAAACCTGACACAGGAAGTAAATCTCCCAACTGCAGAGTTTACAACCATGCAGCTTCATGAGCGTGTCAGGTAAGTAAAACCATGAAAAAACTTCTATGGACCCATTTCTCAGGTCCACTTTTAACGTGCATTGCAGGGGACTGGAAAGTCCATCAGTGAAACTAAATTAACTGTACTGACTATACTGGTCAGTTAGACCTACATGTTGATCCTATGGTAAACAGGCTGTCTGGGAGTGTCTTTTGAGAAAAAGACCACATATAAGAAACTTAAACCAGCCAATCATGCTGGTCCTAGAGATGAAGACTATATTGACCTATCTGGACAATTATCAGAAAGATTATTAAAATATATTTTCCTATACAGGCCAGTTATTTATTAAAATATCCACCAATATATTGTTTCCCTAATCATTCTACATTAGAAATTGACACCTTTGCTAAGAGGATAGATTAGGCAAATGTCTTGGCAGTGCAACATAAGGTGTCTAGAGATATTGGGCATATTTTAGACTGGCTCCCAGAGTTGACAACCATGATTGTGCAAGGATGCCATAATCCCTGGAGGTTTATTGGTAATAATACCCTCACCCTCAGTGAGATGGCACCCAAAAGGATGTTTTGATGTTTGACTTCTACCTTCAAAATATTTATATTACTGACAGACCTAATAGACTCCTTAAATGTGAGAATTAAGAAAAAGGAAGATGAATATCCTGTAGCCTGTAAGAATACAACTTATCTTGCTGTATCATGGGTTATTGCCAGCTAATATTTCCGAGCTATAATATGCTGTAGTTAATGTTCAGGCTTTGAAACAAGTGCATGTCAATTAACCAGACCTAGGCAAGCTTAAATTACTTAAATTACTTCCAAGATCCTTCATACTCAGATAAGTGATAATGAAAGAATTAAAACTAAATTAAAATACTCTAGAAGCCACTGTCATCAATATTGTGAATGAGCCCTCTGCTCTATGGTTTGTGGAAAGGCTTAAATGCCATGCTAAATAAAAATATTTATGTTACAATGGCCAAACACAATGTTTCCCATGAAATTTGTAAAAGATTAAGAATCTCCTGATGAATGTTTGCAGAATAATAATAATAACCGGGATCTTCCAGGTTGATTATGTTATTAAGATAATATGTTTTCTACAAAACTTTTTGTGTTTCAATAGTAGATCATGATGACCTTGGACCAAGAATCCAGTGACTGCAAGATATGATTCCCCAATTGCCTTTTTTTTTAAATTAAGAAAGGGGAACTATATCGGGAGCTGCCAAATAGAACCGAGTGCCCCTTACCCTTGAGTGATGAGAGTGTGGAGATGTGGCCAACCAGCCATGGGGTGTGTGTGTGTGAACTGTGGGCACTGAGCACACAAAGTGGACTGAACCGACATTGCCCCTCTGTTTGGGCAGGCCTCACTCTGGTCTTTTCTTAGGTCACTCTGCCATGATCCCCACACAGCTCATAGATAGGCATGGCCTCCCTAGATGCTGGTCAACCTGCTGACAGCAGACATCATGAAGCTCTAGACTCAACCCCCTGAAACCTGACCTCTTGCCAAATTTGAATGGCTTCTTATCAATGAAAGTGTTCATCATGTCTGTCTGTCTGTCTCTCTCTCTCTCTCCCTCTCTCTCTCTCTCTCTCTCTCTCTCTCTCTCTCTCCCCCCCCCAGGACCCCTAAGTTCAGAGGAGCCAAAGAAAAAGGTATTTCTCTGTCTCTGTGTGGTGATTTCATGCAGCCCAGTTCACCTGGAGTGACCCCGAGTGTTTGGTCAAGGAACACAACAGAATAGTACAAGAAAAATGAACCAAATTATGCCATATGCATGTATGAATATACCACAATGAATACCACTTTTATGTATGATTACAATATAATCATATATTAAAATAGGAGACAAAACAGTAGAGAAAGTTGGAAGGGGGAGGGAGAACAAAAAGAGGAAGTACTGGGGAATTATCTGGAACAAATCATCTTATGTACATGATGTTACAATGAATCCTACTAATAAGTACAATTAGAAAAAGCTAATATCAACACCTTTAAAGCTGTCACCAAAATTCAGTTCAGTAGGTCATGTTATGTTTGTTAGCTTTTGATTTCCTTCTACATACAAACATTCTATTATGTCATAAATGTGATATGTGGCCCATAGTCACCATCAGTGTATTTTTTCAGTTTCTGTTTTTCAGAATATATTTTTCAGCCCTCTGTTTAACCTCCCATCCTCTCTCCCCTGGCATATTTTCCTGCACAATTTTACCTGCTCCTGAAACCTGTGTTACCCTCCGTTGTTTCCTTCTACATGTTCAATGTAACCATAGCCACGTGGTACATAGACACCCTCAGTTTTAGAGGCAGCTTGACCTTTTTGTTGTTTTTTAAATATTTGGTTTTTGCTTTTTTTTTTTTTTTTTTTTTTTTAGTTGTAGGTGGACACAATAACCTCTATTTTATTTTCATGTGGAGCTGAGGATCAAACCCGGTGACTCACATGTGCTAGGCAAGTGCTTTACCACTGAGCCCCAGCCCCAGCCTCAGCCCGCTGCTTGTCCTTTTATAAAATAAGGACTTCATGGCGCTCGGTTCTCTCGATCTTGCTGAGGAGAATCCAGGCATCTCCCTCATGGAAACTGGACATTCTTCCCAGAACACTGGGGCACTGTTTCCTTAGCCTCCATGACATCCCATGCACAGGAGCCCCAGATACTGCTCAGTTTGCTCAATCTTTCCTCAATTGACGGTGCCTCCTGTTTTTCCAGGGCTTTGCCAGGAACAGTGATGAGATAAGCAAGGTTCCAGCTGAGGTCTCCCAGCCAGGGGCATTTCAGGGGGGGGGGGAAGGAGCACAGACCAGAGGAGCTTCCTCCGGCTCAGACACCAGGGTTCCAGTAGGGGCCTCCACAGAAGAGCTGCAGAGGCCCTGAGGACCCTGGGGGCCCAGGCTGGGGTGCTGCCTCCTCACCCTGTGCCCCAGGAACAGGCTCTTGGTCTGTCTCCATACCCCTCCCCAGGCAGCTCCAGCCCCTCCCTGCTGCTGCAGCCCAGGTGGCCTCAGCTCCCTGGCTATGGTCCCTCATGCAGCCAGGGCTGCCTGAGCCCAGGGTCCCAGGTCCTCACCACCAAAAGGCCATTTTGCTCTTTCCATTCATCCTGGGCTCTACCCACACTGCACTGGTGAATTATAACAGGGCGGCTGGCTTTCTCTTTGTTTCCCAAAGGCATCAGAGCCTAACAGCCCCCAGGACTGAAGGGTCCCAGCTGTCCCAGCACCCCCCAACTGCCCTCCCTTCCAGGAAATCCAGCTACTCACAGAGCAGGCTAATGACTCCCAGGAGCCTGGTGGTCCAGCAGAGGTGGGGGTCCTGTGAGCTGTGTCCCATCCTGGCTGCCTGCCGGCCTCTTCAGCTGGGGAGGAAACATCCGAAAGGGGAACCACCAAGAGGAGGAGCTTCCCTGCTCTGAGGGCAGAGCCACAGGCCAGTATTAAAAAGCCCACCAGCGTTCACAGAGGCAACCTCACTCGCTCTAAGAAATTGCAGAATAACTGTATGAATAACCGGAGCCTGGATGGACATCTGGTCTCTGACATCTGTTGGCAAGCCCCTCCTGCAGGCAGAGCCAGCTTGTCTCAGGCAAACACTCCTGCCCACACCCACTGGGTGAACAGCTCTGCCCAGGCAGCCCTGATCCCCAGTGCCAGCCTGTGGCCAGCACAAAAGTCTCCCTCTTACAAGCAAGCCTGAGCTAAGCCCTCCTGAGTTCCATGGCTTTCCTCTGCACTTACCCCATTCTATAGCTCATTTATTTTCTGATATTCCAAGAACTTCAACTGTCAGTTGCCTATGGGAGTAACTGTGGTCAAAAAAATACCAAACTGTAATGGAGAGTGGTAACCACCAAATATTTGCACTCGGCTTTGAGGGTGGTGAGCCTCATGGTGAGCTCTTAATGGTGCTCAAGAAAAGACAAGCCCTTCCCTCTGTTCTACAGGCCTCTGAACTGTTTAGATTCTGGGGTGGGGGCAGGGTTAGGGGGACCGGATCCTAAAGAGGAAGCAGGATAATGGCTGGAAACTAAGGGGACAAAGGTCAGATAATAGATATTCCAGCTGACAGGTGCCAGGGACTTTTCACAACACCACGTCTCACATTTTCAAAGTGCCAGCCATCCTACCCTAAGGTATGATGTGGTATCCAAAGACACAGAGAGCCCCAGGTTCAATCCCCAGCACCACAAGACAAAAAGCAACAACAAAGGAGCCTGCACAACAGTGTGATTGCCACCAAGAGCCAAATAGAAGAGAAATAAAGATCAGGCACATGGAGCCCTGATGAACCAGCCTAATTCCATGTTAAGATTGGGAGCCATCTCGTCACAAAGTCATGAAAGTTCATTTATGTTTTACTGTAAAATACCAAGATTTCTATTTGGCCTGGCCATAATTGGATGTTTTAAACAGTTGCTTGGGATTCCTGCCCTTGCTTTGAACTTCCCCATGCCCGGCTCTCCTTGACCAGATGACAACCCTCCCTGAATCCCAGCTGCCCCTCGTTAACTTTGATGTTGGATCTGAGTCTGCTCCCCGCCTTTAGACGTTAAAGGATGTAGATCCTAAACCTGCTATCTGCCCTTGTATTTCACTTACCAGAACCCTGTTATCTCTAAGTTCCCAAGTCACCCCCCATTTTTGATAACTGTTTTTGTGTGTTATAAGGACTTCCCTGTAGTCAGACCAGCTGCTTGCTGTCTTCTGGCCCTGTTTTTCTGAGGGAGGCAGCCCCTGGCCAGGCTTGCTTTTATTTGGTTGAAATAGGATTTGCTGGTTTTTCTTTGCATCCTGGTTCAACACGCCAGGGGACAATAAGAGATATAAGAGATAATCCTGAAAGCTGGACACCCAGGAATTGATGGAAATTATACAGAAGGCTCTGGACTTCTCCGGGACATGATGGAACGTCATATCTACATATTTGAGTGTCTAAGGGCAGCACCTCAGCTGAGAGCTGGCTTACATGAAGAACGTATTTACTAAGTACCTACTGTGTGTCAGAGGCTTTACATGAGTTACTTCAGCTAATTCACATACTATGTTGAAGTACATCCTCAAAACTGTATTATCTGAGCATTAGCGGCACCTTACAGAGGAGTATCCTGAATGTCCTAAGAGATGAAAAACTTGTCCAAGGTCATAATTTCAGTAAGGGGCAAGGATCTCAGAAACTGTCAAAAGGAGCCCAGCCATGATGTGCCCCAGGAGCAGGAGGGAGTGAGGGTTCTGAGAAAGTCAAGTCAGCACTCTCAGACCCTAGGGGGGCCCAGGGTTGCTGTTTCCTGGAGTGGGAGGAGGGCAAGGGGCCAGGCAGAGGCCAGGTTGCAGGAGAAGCTCTGCACTGTGGTCTTTCTCTGACCTTCCTGCCTGCGGGAAACAGAAGAGCCTCAGCCCAGGCCTGCAAGGGGTGCAGAGGAGCATCCGACATTCAGGGGTTGTGCTGGGAGGGCATCAGACAGCAGGGTACAGAGAACAATCAGCTGGGCATCGCTGTCCTCCCTGTCCTTTTCCCTCTCCCTCTATATCCCTATTACCAATTGCTGGTAAAACAAAATGTGTGTGTGTGCTCTTTTTCATTAAAAATAAATAGAACATAAAAAATAGATCATAAGTAAGTAAATAATATATAAAACACCAGATCATAATAAGAGAGTGGGTGGGGTAGTTTCAATAGCTCATTCAGGGAGAAGTGTGCAATTCTGGACAATTTTAGCCAGAGTAGAAAATATCAAATAACTTCAAAACTTTTCTCCTTCATAAAAAAAAAAAAAAATAGCAGCCTATACTTATGGTGACACTCAACAGCATAAGAGGTACAAGAAAGACCCTTTCAAACCTCAATCCCAGTGAAATGTCAGGATCTGAATTCAGTAACAAGGAAGTTGACATGACAGAAATTGGAGCTCTCCCAATGCAGTTATCCAACAATTTATCAATTTGTCAACACCGATTACATACAGTCATTTAATGTCCTGAATGGAGAAGTGGAGCACTGCACTAATTAGGACCTTTAAAAGCTAAGGATTTAACTGGGGATATAGCTCAGCTGGTAGAGTGCTTGCCTCACATGCACAAGGCCCTGGGTTCAATCCCCAGCACCACCACCAAAATAAATAAATAAATAAATAAATAAGCTAGGGCTGATCATGGTGACCAACACATGTAATCCCAGCTACTCAGGCAGCTGAGGTAGGAGGATGCCAGGCAAATTCAAGGTCAGCCTGTAAAAACAGTGGGTTGGGATGCACTTCAGCAGTAGAGTGCCAGTGTCCCTGGATTCAATTGCTAGTACCACATACAAAAAAAAAAAAAAAAAAGCCTGGAGAACAAGATGTCCACAGAGGCCTTGACATTTTTTTCTTTTTCTTTTTTGTTAGAGCTTTATAGTTATACATAGTAGCATGGAAATTGATTTCAGTTCATGACCCTCCCTTCTCCCCCATCCTCTCTCCCCTCTCCCACTCTCCTTCCTCTGCCCTACTCCACTTCCTTTCGCTCATCTATTAATTCATATTCGATTGGCTCTTTGTGTTATCCTATTCTTCTCTCCCTCTTCCCTTGGTTTTAGTCTACCTTCCTCATATGAGAGAACACATTTGACCTTTGAGTTTCTGAGCTGGCTTATTTCACTTAACATGATGTTCTCTTTTTCCATCCATTTACCACCAAAATGCCATAATTTCATTCTTTTTTATGGCTGATTAGAATTCCAGTATATGTATACACCACGATTTCTTAATCCACTCATCTATTGTCAGGCATCTGGGTTGATTCCAACATTTAGCTGTTGTGAACTGTGCTGGTAGAAACACTGAGATGGCTGTATCACTACAGTGTGCTGAATTTAGATCTTTTGGGAGATCCACCAAGGAGCGAGATAGCTGGGTCACATGGTGGTTCCATCGCTAGTTTTTGAGGAACCTCCATACTGCTTTTCAGAGTGTTGAACTAGTTTGCAGTCCCACCAAAAATGTACAAGTGAACCCTTTTCTCCACATCCTCACCAGCATTTATTATTGTTCATATTCTTATGTCATTGTGACTGGAGAGAGAGGAAATTTTAGTGTAGTTTTGATTTGCATTTTCCTGATGCCAAAGATGTTGAGCATTTTTTCATATATTTGCAGGCCATTTGCATTTCTTCTATTGAGAAGTTTGTTTGGTTCTTTTGCCCATTATTGATTGGGTTCTGTGTGTGCGTGCATGTGTGCATGTATGTGTGTATGTGTGTCTCTCTCTCTGTGTGTTTGTGTGTGTCAAGATTTTTTAGTTCCTTTTATTCCTGGGTACTAGTCCCCCATCAGAGGAGCAGCTGGCCAAGATTTTCTCCCATTCTGTAGTCTGTCTTTATTCTCTTGTTCCATTAGCTGTGCAGAAACTTTTTAGCTTGATAGCCCCCCACTTATTGACTCCTGGTTTCATATCTGGTGCCTTGGGGTCTTGTGAGGGAAGCTGGTGTCAGCGTGTTTATGATGGAGTGTCGACTCCATGTTTCCTTCCAGCAGTCATAAAGTTTCTGGTGTCATTCCTGAGACTTTCAGCCATTTCAGTTTCAGTTTTGTGCAGGATGAGGACAGGAGTCTAGTTTCATTTTCTACATAAAGCTAACCAATTTTCCTGCACCATTTGTTTAAAAGGCTGTCTTTTCTCCAAGATATACTTTTGGCCCCTTTGTCAAATGTCAGACAGCCCTAGGCAGATGATTTGTCTCTGTGTCCTCTGTGGTGTTCCATTGGTCTTGGTGTCTGTTTTGATGCCAATTCCATGCTCTTTGTGTTCCCACAGCTCTGTGGCATAATTTCAGATCTGGTATTGCCACAGGCCCCTGATCATCTCATTTCAGTCCTCACCTTAGGGCCCTTGTGCCCCTGGCTTCCCCGATCATGGTCACCTGCCAGTGCCCAGCCCTGCCTCTCCACCCACTGCCCCTGCTGGGCCTCAGCCCCTGTCCTCCACTCTACCAGAGTCTCCACTGGGCCCACAACCACGTGCCAGGGCTGCACTGGTCACCTCGGCTCTCATACACTGCTGTTCCCAGTCTCAGTCAATAGTCCCATCCAGACCCTGGCTTTGCCCTGGGCTCCTTCCTCTGCTGACCCCAGGGCAGTTGATCAAACACCTGATCAATCAGATCCATCACTCAGCACCTCAGATGCAGTGATTTTATTTTATTGTCCAAAAATCCTGGTGGAAAGGCAGAGTGAATCCAGCATCAGCTATTCCTGGCACTTAGTGGTGAGGTCAAGGAAGCAGAGCTCCTAAGCCATGGCTTGTTCTCAGCTCTCCCCCATTTTGTGGAACTGACCCCACCTCACCCTCTCCCTGGCCCAGCCCAGGATGTGCCCTGGATGCTTTCCTGCTGCCCACTGCCCCTCCTCACCCTCTACTGCCTGTGCCGGGTTCCTTCCTGTGCACCATGGCACTTGGGGAGGAAGGTGAACTCTTCTCCCACCTGAAGGCACCATCCATTATTAGCAGTGGGATCTGGCACTGCTGTGCTGTG